AACCTTCCACTGGATTCCTCCTTTTGTCTTTCACTAATCCTACTGTCTATCACAGTGAATCAAAGCCAAAAGTTAAAGATGGGGTAAAGAACTCATAAAAAAAACCCAGAAGATGATACTGTGAAAACAGAAGGAGAAACTCCTGTTCCTGTACCCTGCCATATTGAAGAAGTCCCGTTCCAAATCTGAGACTGCTCACGTAACACACCCACATCATCTCTGCCAAGGATAAAGAAACTGGAAATCCATTACAGCATACATTTACATTCAGAGGTTTGTGTTTTTATGAGCACCCTATGCATCATTTTAATTTTTCTGAGTTTCTACACAAATCTGCAGATTTGAAAAGGAATACAATGTTTTAAAAGATTTAAAATTAAATACAAGAAAGAGCTTTTGTAAGCAATTTTTGTGTAGCAAGCTATCACACTGTATAGCAATATTTAGGAAAATTAATATATATATAAAATATTTTCTGCTCAAAAGATTTTGGTTATAATCTTTCTGATATGGGACTAATATATATTTCTGGAGAGATTTTGATCTTGTGAACTGTGATGAACTCTGTCTTTCCTGATTTCTTGTATTTCATAAGAATAAGTTATTTATTACTTAATAATTCTACTATTTGACGTTATCTGTATTTCCTTCCCTATTTAGATTCATAACATGAGATTTTCCAGATTTTTAATGCCTTGGGCCAGCCTGAGATTTTTTTAAGGATCTGATTTTCCAAAGATCATCTTTCTTTCAAGACTCTGGTCTTGAGAATAATTACAATCCTACCTGTCTCAAAGTGCTGTAAATTAGGAGTGTGAACTCTTTTACAGGCATATGAATATCTTTGTTCTGATCTTACATAAAGAGATGTAATGGGTAACAATATTGTTTCCATTTTGTAACTTTAGCCCATTTCAAGAATGGTGTTTTCTATAAATGTGTATTAATAACCTACTAGGTGGGACACCTTGATCATACACTGAGCTTTATTTTGTTACCTGCTACATACATGCATTAAAAATCAAGACTTTACTTGAAGAACTTGTAATGTATGCATCCTTAGTGATATTTCTAATGACATTTCTTCCTCTGGTAAAGCAGATGCATACTTGAAGAAGAAAGTCCTTCAATGAAATGCTCAAGAGTGCAGGTGGTTAGTTTGCTGCGCTGAGCAAGGCTGATGAAGCTCATAGTTTCTCTGGCTGAACATATCCGTTTCAGTATCTCGTTCACAAGACTTCCGTATTCACTATTGTCGCAGGCAAAACAGTCTTGACTCAGGGCATTTCACATAATTTAATTTATTGAAAATGAATAAACGGAAATGTTTTATCACTTGTTTAGGTATTAAGAAAAGAGCAAGAAAACAAATTATTAAATAAACAGTCAGAGAAATATCTTCCTTCTCTCTCCCCAGGCTCAACTTCTGTCCCACACCTTCCTAGCCCCTTCCTAATCTACATCCTTAGAGGTGCCCCTGACTTGCATGGATCACTCACAAGCTGCACTGCCTCAAGTTGTCCCTGCCCTTGTGTGGGTCACCTTCAGGTGGCCACCCTACCAGCACCAGTTGTGTCCTTTCAAGACTGCATCGCCAGCCATCTCCTCAACAATGTCCCCTACCACATCTCCATTTCATTGCTCCAAATGCATCTCTTCATGTTTCTCTTTGTAAATCCACTTTTTGCATCCTCCTATCATTCCTTTCGTGTGTCCTCGGTGCACTCTGGTGTCTCCTCTCCAGTATCTGCTGGCTCAGCAGCTACTTCCCTTTTTAGCATCCATTTGAGCAGAGGAGTCATGTTTTGGGGCAATATGTGGGCTCTTTCCACTCGTTGCCAAGCCAGAGGGACCAGCCCAGGGCAACCTGCAGCTGCTGCCCTCCAAACCCTGCTATTTGTTCTCAATACAACTACTTAGTTAAGCCCAATTGTGCAAACACATAATCCCTGAACTCTTCAAAGCCGTTACGTGACTTATATACAAGATTGCAGGATCTTGATCTAAATAAAGTATACGTGAAAACACTGTTCAACTTCCTTTCACTATCCCCGCAATAAAAAGACTTTTTAAAAAATCAATTGAATCATCAGAATTTAATAATTCAATTAATTTTTATTCCTTGAATTAATTGAATTGTCAAAACTATGAATCACTCAACATAATTAGTACTTACCACTGGTCTCCAATACCTCTTACATACTTATACTTCTTGTGACATACTCTTATTCCTAAACTGCACCCAAACCACGTCATTAAGCAGATGAAAAGACACAAAGAAACCTTTTATGGTCTGCAATTACCTTTTTGAAAGGAGCTCTTTTAAAGAGTCTTCTATTCTGCAATTTTATTTACTGAAATTCTTCCAAAATGTTCTGGAAGGAAGCATTTTCTTCATTGCTGCAATGTACTCCGGGGGTGGTGGGGGGCGCAAAGATACAATCAATCGTAGAAAAACAGTGCTACACCTTACTTTTTGTTCCACTATAATTAGAAGTCTTGTTCTCCAGAGACAAAACAGTAACAGATAATTACTTCCTAGGAAAACTAAAACTCACAGAGCTAGGAAAACTCTCAAGAAGGCATTTAACACAGTCTTCCACCTTAAACAATTTCACTTCTCAGATTTATCCTTTGATAACTTTCTCTCTTTGATGAATATTGAAACAAGGATCTCCCAAATCTTCCTCTCACACCGATTGTCTTTAAAATTACATCTCATTTTCTGCCCTCGCCTTTCAGCTTTCATCTCGATATGTTCTTCCTATGCTCAGATGTAGTCTCAGTTCTCACTTCCCAGATGTTTCTCTCTTGAGATTCAGGTCCAGAAAGAGCTCAGAGTTTGGCCAAATCTTCTTGTCTTTCCTGTCTTTCTGGTTCATGTCATTTCTGACTGCCAGAAATATGTAGATTTGATTTTCTTGTTCTTCCCATCCAATGGTTTATGAACCTTAAGTAACCGTTCCCCGAGTTATCTTTCTCTGTCATTTTGTCAACAGTTCCTCCCCAACGCCTGGGAACAGATGTAGAAGATTCTCAGGTGGTTGCTTTTCGCAAAAAAAAATGTATTCAAAAATTTGACTCACAAATATTCCAGTAATTTGCTACATAATTCACCGGTAGTTAAAAATCTCCTTTGCCATCACAAGCATGGTGATTCTGTCTCCTACTGTCAAGATGTTTTATTCTTTTTCTTGCCCCTGCTTTAATGTTATATTTACACCTCAAACTTGTCCCTGTAGCAGGAAGCCTAATGGGAACCTTATGGTATCCCTGCCTGGGACCCCCCTGGTCTTCTGCTCCTTGAGCCTTCAGACCTGCTCTGGGCCATTTCTAAGACTGCCATTAGCAGAAATGGATGGAAAAGTCATGGCAGCCCTCAATAACATCTCACCTTCAGGATCCTGGGAGGCAGCATGCTTGCCACCATATCAGGTCCAGGTAACAGAGGGATGTTTCCATTGCTCTCAGGACAGAATTACCTGCAACCATCATTGCCATCCTTTATTTCCTCCTATAAACCTTGGTCCTGAACCTCATAGCCTTGGGTCGCACAGCTTTTTCTTCTCTGCCAGTGCAATACTTAGTCCTACAAGCTTGAGTGGCTTTGCCTGCTCAGCTACACCATTCTGAATCAGGCAGTTTCTTCTTGGTCATTAACATCTTTATAGTCCCTGTATGACATCTATACAGCATTTATGGTTCCAAAGCTGTGCCCACAAGTGTGTAGAGGTTAACAAATCACCAAACCACTTTATTTTACCCTTAATTCTCTCTTGACGGTTTTCTTGGCTCATAATATCTTCAATCAGAAAGGAAAGAGGGGAGGGAGGGAGAAAAGGAGGGAGGGAGGGAGAGAGAAAGGGAGAAAGAAGGAATCTGCTCCCAGAACGCAGCACAATAAGCCAATTTCTGTTAAGATTTAAGAATGAAATCTGACAGGCCGATGGTGCTACAAACCTCTGCACACAGGACAGCTGAGGGACGGGGTGCTGACCCCTTGGCCAGAATGGTGGACATTAGTATAATTATACCCTGACTTTATCCCAAAACCTAGCAAGGGTTACTGCGTTGTCTTTTTGAGATTGTAGTCAAAAAATTAAGTCAGCTGTGGGCAATATATTCAGCTCGCCTTCATATACACACTGCAAGCCTTGTTACCAGGGCCTCACAAAGCATCGCTTGAAAAAGGAATACAAGATGCTCTTTGTAAATAAAAGTTCATGAGTCTGAGGAATGAAGTCATTTTCCAAAATCTCAGTGAACGATATTCTATTTCACGAGCCGAGAAGCTGAGAGGTGGGCTTGAGGGGAAGGATTTGAATGAAGCAAGTTAGAGAAACCAATTAGCCCTATTAGCCCATGGCACAGCCAGGCTCTTT